TGAGTGAGGAAATTCGAGTAGTTTTGACACAGAAAGCGAAATTTGAATATAATCCACTTAGGTTCAAGATTATGCCAAAATTCCATGTTTTCCGTCCCGTTTTTGCTCATGTCTCGCAGGCAAAATGAGCAAGAACGCTCATTTGTACATCATTCTAGACAGAAATAAATTTTCTTAAGAACCATTCGAGCCACAAAATTCGTTTTGGCACCGTTGGATAGAGAATTGAATGTATGTAATACATGTGTTGTATTAGAATAAAAATGAAGAAAGCCTCAAAATAGCCCCAAAATTTCGGTTATTTTCAATCGAGTTTTTCAAAATTTGTTTGAAAAAGTGTTGCCTCAGAGGAAAGTCATATCAACATGGAATAACTAAAACGTATGAAAATCACCGGAAAACAGTGTTCAACAGGGCAGATCAAGAAGCGAAGAAACTGCATAGAAAATGGAAAACTCTAAAATAAGAACACATTAATGAACTGGACGACGCAGGAATCGTGCAAGTTGGTATGAAAACGTGAGACGCTTCAGAAGAGACTGGGAGGAGAAAAAGCTTGAGGCTAGAAGATGGGGGTGAAGGAACAACCACCAGCTGTGCCTAGAATGAAGATGTAGAGGGCAAACGGTGTGAAGATTCCTGAGTAACAAAAACCTGAATATAAAATGGAGGCAAAAAAACAGAAATCTGCTTAGAATGAAGAATGAGGGATTGTATCAAGCCCCCATCTTCTCCCAAATTTTAGACAGACTTTTCAGACAAACGATGCTCCACAAAATGAAAAATATGCGCTCTGCATTACGGATGTAAATCGAAAACAACCGAAAATAGCACCTGATTGTCCTAATCAATAAAGCCTGGTTTTTGCAATAAGATCGTGGACGCTCAGATTAATTTCCGCTCAAAAAGGCGGCGCGCCAACACCAAGCACAAATAAGCGTCCGCATGTTTTTTTCTGTTCCGATGACGTAAAACGCGGCAATTTTTTAAGTGCCAACTAGATGTAAACCAAAATAAAAATTTGTTCTTGTCAGCGAGTGGTCGAGTGGGCGTCCACCACCTTATAGATGCGCATCCAGTGGTGAGGTGTTGGCCATTCTTGGGCAACTGTTGACACGGCCATTGTTGCTGTTTACACTCGATCTAACGTGTTAAAAGCCTGCGGATTCAGTGCCAAAAAAACACCGAAATCTACCAATGCAGACTGTGTGTCGCCCACACCGACTTGTCGGATTCGATCTAGATAAATTTTCCGCAATTTATCCGTTTCAACTTCTTGATCGTTTCACTTAATAGTCTCCAACGTTTTTCCACTACAGATTTAATGGTTTGCCGGCCAAATTTCAACTGTTCTCATTCGGTTTGTCTTAAAACGTTTCAAACGCTCACACGTGTTGGAATCATTTGCGGTTTTTGCTACACTATTCATTTTTATGTCTGGAACGACATTTTTTGTGTATATTTACTTATGAGGTCGTTTATTTAAATACATATACCTTATGAATTAACGCTAAAGATTGGCCAAATCAGTGATCTTTTATATGACCCCCATTTAGGTCTTCTATACAGTTCCGATTTTTTATAAAGCGTTTTGAATGTATTGCTTATGATTAATTGTTAACTGCGTCCACTATTCAACGGCGCAAATCATCATCATCAGGCGCAATTTGCAATTGCATTTCATGCACAACACTCTTTCAATCACTGCAGGGAAAAGAATCAAGCGGCGCTAAGTCGGGGCGATGAGGAGGCCATGGGACAAGACCAGCTCGGCCAATCCAGATACCAAAGCTTTTGGGCATTTAAATGTTGTGGGGTGGATTAGATATTTAATCCTTCTTGTTTACCAACAATTTTTTTCCTGGTCACAAACAATATTGACTTTTTTCGCCGCTTGGAGGATGCGTTGTATGGTTTTCAGCCAGATGTTGCAAGAAACTCACATGTTCAAGGCGCTGGATTCTTGTTTAGTTCTGTTCTGTTCTGTTAGTAAAAACATTGATAAGAGGGCTGTTTTGCAATGTGGCGCCACCATTCGACGCTTATCTGGTAGTGAGAATAGTGGAAATAGCCTGAATGGAAATCTACCAAATTGTTATCAGTGTTTGCCGCATAATTTTAACATTTTATTTCTGTGGTTGGAGGATGGGCCACAGTGCAGAGGTGACGATAACAACGTATTTCTACGCTCCGATTGAACGGTTTTGGCTAATCTTGGTAGTTGTTTGTTTGTTGGTGCCGATAGTCTTAAAAAACCTCATTTGCCAGATAGAGAGATCGCGCCAGAATCTCGGAATATTGAGGGAAAAGTTGCCGAGGATAAAATTGATATATCGGCACTTTTGGCAAGTAATTGGCTATAAATCCTGCAACGAGCTTCCACGTTAAGTCACTAATTATAGCCTAGTTGAAAATAGAAAATCGACAAATTGTTTATGATCCTCCGCACTGACACGCCACACTCTTCCGAAAAGTTCCATTGCAAGCCATTTTGATGTCTGACCAGCTCTACTATAAATCCACACTCTGTATACATGTAGTAAATTTAACCTCTTTGCATTCAAAGAGGCGTTTAATCCTCCAAGTACCAGAATAAACATGCTAGACTTTTGTGAGCAGATTGAGGAGACTGAGAGCGGTTTATCGCCAAGAATCCATCAAAAATTCCTCTAACTCTGTGGGTAGGTTTCCTTCAAGTAGTAGG